AAACACCACTGATGTCCTTCGTGATGAGGTCGTGGTGGATATTAGAGTGGTTTATACATGTGTTACGGCCATCTAGTGAGCAATAGTGCAATCATTGAATCTGCTAGTGGTGTGCCAATTCAGCACGAACGGAAAGTAATTGATATCACAGGGACAAAGCATCCCAATATTCAAGAGATATCCTATATTTGCCAATTTATAGACAACTAAGGATGACCAGAGGGTAACTGATCGAAATATTCTGTCTATAATAACAGCAATATCAACAAAGGTGAGAAGCTTAATTCTAAATAATACAAGAATACTGAAAATTACTCATCAAAGAAATGAAATACTATACTTATTATATCTTCTTTTTACGCATTTGCAATAACCTTATTCAGCAACCTACTACCTTAAGTATCTCTTTAGATTTGTACTGGATGAACAATAGTATTAAAAAAAAGAAGCTTACATCTATTTCATGCCAGTTATATTCCTAGTTGGTGATCTTTTGTTCAACTATGAAAACGCCCACTACTCATTTTGACGGGTTATACGAAAAAAAAAAATATATATTACTGAACGAGTTTCTAAAGTTATTGTTCTCTCTAGCACGTATGGAGGTTTCCTTTGTAATCTTTTGATTGAAGTTGTGTGGAAATTCAATAGCTTTCAAGTGTCATTAGTGCCATTAGTTTCCCTTTGAGTTAAACTCCGCGCTAACAGAAGACACCTTGTTTATTTTGTTACATAGAACAATTGATCAACAGACAGGTAGGAAATATATCCCACAATTATGGCTAATATTATCTCCAAACATTTTCCAAATTTTCTTTTCTTTTTTCTTTTTTTAAGATGTCTTTATAAGTTAAACTATCAAGAAAACAAGAGACGGCTGACTTTCAGATAGACACAGCAGTGCAAACAGTAAAAGCGTTGATTGAAATCTCTCTCTTCCTCTCCCTCTCCCTCTCTCTCTCTCTAGAGAGAGAGAGAGAGAGCGAGAGAGAGAGAGAGCGAGGCTTTCGTCGCAGTTAATGATTAAGTAGAAATGCTGCAAGGACATCCGTTTCGAATAGAAATAGTCTTTGTAACATTTTTCTTTGGTAAAGCTGTTCAGAGGATTTTCACCATTCCCTATATTTTTCAGCGGCTGATTCTGAACGTTTTCCTTCTAGTGGCAATTTTCGGATTTGATTTACTTGCATGCTGAAAGGCTCACTTAACTTTTCGAGAATGAAGAAATAAGAGTACTTTAAACTTGAATTCCCAAGAATAAATCTTGATAATAGCCGACCGTTTATATCAGACAGAAAGGAATCTGCAGTAACCCCCAAAGAAAGTAGTCAAGGAAAGTAAGAAGAAAGTACCAAATGTCAATACTGCTATAATTTAATATAGTAGGCCTATTAATATTGCTCACAAGCTGGGTCGTATTATACACGTGCTATATCAAAAGACTAGCAGCATGACCCAGCGTTGCCCGTGCTTGATTCAAAAATCGTACGACTCATACAGCCATCGCTATCACTTGACTTAAAATATTTTTCCCTTCCTTGCCTTTAAAGGAGTGCCCTTTGGCGTCCTGATGTTGCTACATGCCTTACTTCTTGCCTATCTCAGACTGTGAATTTTTTCGAAGCTCTATACTAAACATTAAATCTGTTAAGAAAAAAGAACTAAACAAAATGAACACAAAACTATCAGCTTTAGAAAAAAGGACTCGTACCTGGAAAAACCGAATGAAAAAAGAATGTTAACAACAAATACTTTTTCACATCCAGCCCAGTTCTGCAGAATCAGAATCAACGTTGAGTTTAAGGAAGCGAATGAGCCAATTGGAGTAAAGTGCCATGCAGATTTAAAATTTTTCTCACTTGTGACGAATGCCGCTATCGATTATTTTCATGCTAGAATGCTAGTTAACATTCGTGTGAGTCAGCTGTTGGCTCTCACACTGACCAACAGAATCTTTCTGCCTATTCGTGGCAGCTAGCTATAGGCTCTCACTCTGGTCAGTAGAAAATGGCAACAAACTACATGAAAACTGCCGTATAAGCATGAAAGAATCGATTATTTCCACTATCGATGGGAGTTGGGAAATTCAAAGTAGGTCTTAGCCTTCCCGCTAACTTGGACATGTACATTTTGGTGCAAATCCGTCGAAAATTGCGGCCGTGCATTCGTTACACACACACACACACACACACACACACACACACACACACGCATCCTGCCTTTTATAGGTAGAGATAAAATGCAGGGTTTTAAGCAAGAGGAACAATTGTTCTTGGTTTTTGTTTTACGTTTTATCATAATTTGCAGGTTATTTAGAGCCGGAAAACATTTTTAGGTTGCAAGTTTTTTTTCTTTATTTTTTGTTTTGAGATAATAATTAGAGGAAGAAGGGGAGGATCCATACCTTTCTCAAGTGTATTTGAGCATATTGAATATAAAGAATTCAAATGGAATTGAACACGGCACTCCGATTTCCAAGCTCCTGGTATTCCCAAGCGATCATCCATATAGCTACTGACCAGGCTCAACGTTGCTTAACTTTGGTAATCTTGTGATATGGTCCTGAACTGCGAATTGGAAATCCCCAAATCAGTCAAATACAGAAATTTAAATATCGAGGAAGTGTTTCAAAAGCGAGCGGGAAATGTGACGGTTAAATCTAATGACGCATTGCATCAGCGAAATTTTAACCATTTCTCTGCAAGCGTTAATGTGATAAGACAGTGTAACCCGGATATAAGAGAGTTGTCTGGATCGGAGAAAAAGTCTCTTATATCCCGGTTTCTCTTATATCAGGGTCTCTTATATCCGGGTTTCTCTTATATCCGGGTTTGGTCTATTTTTGTTTTGTCTGGCTCTAATTTGGGAGAAAAAATCTCTCGTATATCCGGGTTTCTCTTATATCAGGGTCTCTTATATCAGGGTTTCTCTTATATCCGGGTTTGGTCTATTTTGTTTAGGTAAGTATGGGCTCTAATTTGGGACCAGAAAAATCTCTCTATATCCGGGTTTCTCTTATATCAGGGTCTCTTATATCAGGGGTTTCTCTTATATCCGGGTTTGGTCTATTTTGTTTAGGTAAGTATGGGCTCTAATTTGGGAAAAAAATCTCTCTTATATCCGGGTTTCTCTTATATCAGGGTCTCTTATATCAGGGTTTCTCTTATATCCGGGTTTGGTCTATTTTGTTTAGGTAAGTATGGGCTCTAATTTGGGACCAAAAAAAATCTCTCTTATATCAGGGTTTCTCTTATATCAGGGTCTCTTATATCAGGGTTTCTCTTATATCCGGGTTTGGTCTATTTTGTTTAGGTAAGTATGGGCTCTAATTTGGGACCAGAAAAAATCTCTCTTATATCCAGGTTTCTCTTATATCAGGGTCTCTTATATCAGGGTTTCTCTTATATCCGGGTTTGGTCTATTTTGTTTAGGTAAGTATGGGCTCTAATTTGGGACCAGAAAAAATCTCTCTTATATCAGGGTTTCTCTTATATCAGGGTCTCTTATATCCGGGTTACACTGTACCACTAACGTTACTGGGAGAATGAAAAGACTTCAGAAGGAAGTGGAAACCCAATATTAAACAGGAGACAAGGGATAAAGCCTTATTTCTGTTCACTAGACGAGAAAAGAGTGTGAGATAAAAAAAAGCAACGTACAGTGTAACCCGGATATAAAAGAGTTGTCGGGACCGGAGAAGAAGTCTCTTATATCCGGGTTTCTCTTATATCCGGGTTTGGTCTAATTTATATACATTAACACAGGTTCTAATTTGGGACCAAAGAATATATCTCTTATATCCGGGTTTCTCTTATATCCGGGTCTCTTATATCCGGGTTACACTGTATTAAGAAACAGGATGAATTCACTTGAAACAAAGAAAAAAGACCTAACTCTTATGCAATATCGGTTCTACTTTATGGCAGCATTTAAGACAATTTCCTCAGAGTTGAAGCAAAAGATTAAAGGAACAGAAATGTAGTTCTACAGAAGGATGCTGAGAATACTATGAACTGAACATATTTAACAGTTTTAAGTATAATAGAAACAAAAAGGACACTTAGAATAAAAAAGGCAATTGAAATTTCTAAAGGACATGATTAAGAAACATGGTTTGGATAGCTTAGCATTTACAGGCCATATTAAAATCAAGATATGATTTTTACGATTTAACAAACTTTTTTGGTTATTTAAAGCCAGAAAATATTTTTAGTTTATAATTATGGGGGCGGGGGTATGATAATTATGACTTACCAATACAAATCTTACTAATTAACCCATAGCTGGAGTTAAAAGATGTGGATTCATAACTTCCTAAGAGTATTTGTGCGTAATTTCATAAAACGAATCCGACTGGAATTGAATTTCGGCTTACCTATTTTTAATTCCAAATTCTGCCAGGCAATAGGTACTGATCAGTATCAACGCGGCTTTTCTTCAGTGATCGTATTGGAACTAGTGTTTCAACGTGATATGGCCGTAAATCTATTTCATGCAAGAGGGACAGAAGAAAGCAGTGTTTAACCTAAGAGGTTTGTGATTGGGAGTCATAGTGAAGTAATAAACAATACTAATATGTAGAAAATATAGGAAGTTATGGAGTGCCATAATCGCCAATGTCTAGAACGGGCACGGCACGTAGAAGGCAGTAACTTATTAATACACGCCAACAGCTGTATGAAGCTGTTCACTGCCTAAAGGAAAAAACACTGAACTTTAACCTTATCAATTCGCTTTTAAATGACTAATTTTAATGATTTTTTCATTGAAAGTTTATTCAATAAAAACATATCATTAATTCTAATTTGGGCCTTGAGGAAATAATTTGATCATCGCCCCCGCAAATACTGACCCATATTCTGTCTTTAAAAAACACTTTAATTATTAATATTTTTAGAGATGAATTGGAATCACTTTGGAGTTCCATGATTTTTTAACTTTTTTCTCTAATAAAAATGTCAATTAGCCAGAGGTCTCGAATAAAGATGAATTTTATAATGCTAGAAAGTACCCAGTAAATGTATTAAAGATTGATAGATAGATAAATAAATAGATAGATAGATAGATAGATAGATAAATAGATAGATAGATAGATAGATAGATAGATAGATAGATAGATAAAACGGAATGAGATAGAGATAGATAGATACAAAGACCTGAATGCTAATCATGCATTATTTTTTAAGTAATACACATATTTATGTCTTTGTTGTTTCCGTTCCTTATATTATGGCCGCTACTGTATATAGATAGATAGATAAAACGGAATTATGCAGATATATATAAATATAAAACAGAATGAGAAATATTAGATAGATAAAAGGAATATATATATATATATATATATATATATATATATATATATATATATATATATATATATATAGATAGATAGATAGATAGGTAAAACGATATATATATATATATATATATATATATATATGAATATATATATATATATATATATATATATATATATATATAAAATGGAATGATATATATATATATAAAACAGAATGATATATATGTATAGATAGATAGGTAAAACGGAATTATGTATGTATGTATATACATATATATATATATATATATATATATATATATATATAGGTCAAAAGGAATTATATATAGATAAATCGGAATGACATATATATATATATATACATATATAGACAGTTAAAACGGAATTATATATATATATATATATATATATATATATATATATATATATATATATATAATATATATATATATATATATATATATATATATATATATATATATATATGATGATTATGCCAGAGGCCATCACTATTTTAGCTTTATCATTTCCATATATACTAGTATTTCAGATTCTTTTATGGAATTTACTTTTGGTTTTTCAATGATTATACTGAATTCATTATTGCTGCTGCTGCGATAGTCGATTCCCTATTGCGTATTAAACAAGTCTTCTCCGCAGAATCTTAAAAATTTATATGTATTGAATTCGTCCGTGAATCGGATAGTGCTATTACATCTGTTCTGGTCTATTTGTTCTGTGTCTCGAAATCTTTGATAGAATCCAAAGAAGAAACGGAAAAGTTATCGGTACTAACCTGATCTCGTCTTCTCTCACATTTCCATTGACGTAGCTGGGGAGGCACGGTGGAGTAATGGATAGCGGCTCGGATTGAGAAATCGGAGTGCCGAGTTCGAATTAAGGTCGAATCCATTACGTACTAATACCCTTTGGAAAGGTATCTATCATCTTTTTCTTTTCCCTCCACCACCGGCTATGGGTAAATAGCAGTATAGACTTGGTTCTATAGCCTTGGATGGCAACTGGTCTACCGCAGAAAAAAATAGCAACCTACTGCTGGAAATATCAGCCTCGTCAGTCATGTATCGAAAGATTCATGATCGCCTAAGTACGTATCACGCATGGTACAGCTGACGGAACGTAGCTTCCCTTTAGACCTTTTTTATAAATATGGTCAAGGCAATTGACCTGGTGAGGTTTTCTCATCAGTCCGTCGACATTACGAATAGATTGTCAGTTTTCAATGATAAAATTACCAGTTGTAACCGTAAGTTCTATGCTGTAGTTTCTTCTCTCCGACTTCTCGTTTGTGTAAACCTGTTTCGACCTCCTGCTGTCCTATTAACTACGATCTTCAAAAGTTTAAATATCTTCTGTGCCCTTGAATCATACTCGGGTAAAGTTTAACTTTCGTTAAAGACGGTTTTTTCCTTTGAGAACCGCTATTATTTTTCACTGCCCTTAATCCCTCGCAAACGTTTGTTTTAAATAGCGAAGATAGAATTTTAATAAAATCCAAACATATGAAAATGAATTAATACATTTTCTTTCTTTTTTGCGAATGTACAATAAAAATATTATTCACTATTTATTTGATAAAATGTTTATTTACAAGAAGGATTTTATATTTACAACGTTAAAAAAATGGGAACCAATTAATACAATGCAATGTTTATCATATACCAATTTATAAAGAAACAAATAAATATGAAAACTGTTTTTTTTATTTATAAATATTTACTATATCATAATATATCAACCAACTATATTCAAAACTTTATTATTCACTAATTTAAAATTTCGAACTGCTTGGCAATTCGCTGACGTTTTCCAAAACCAATCCAAAGAACACAGTTCGTCAGCTTCGCCAATTGCTTTAATCAATGTGCTTAGTGTCCGTTCATCATTTTTTTTTTTTAATCTTGTAAATAAACATTGCCGGGGGAGTTTTGATAGTTTTATGTAATAGCGGTGTCAGCAGAAAAAATCGTCCTTTTAGAAGACATTTTTTTTTTTGAGAGCCAAAAGCTTTAAACATTTCTCTGTTTTTCTTTTTAACCCTTGATTTTATTGCCTTGCTAATGGCGAAATAATTACAAATTAATAGGTAATTATGCTCTTTTCAAATTTGTATGAGATTTTATTCCATCTCTAAATTGGGACCTATTTTCGTGAAAAAAATTTAAATCTAAAATTCTCTAGTCTCATTATTTGTGATATGAAAACCATAACACTGCATTCAATTATTCATTGGTAGCATTGAATATTTGAATCTCTATCTATAAAAGGCAGTATATAATGATTATAAAGTAGTATAGTAGTCGTAGTATAAGTCTCCGTGTACTGAATGGCATTTGGATTTGCTAGGAATAGCCACCCTATGTTCACCAGTTGTTCTCTATTTAACTTAACAACTTAACATTTCTACTTTCACTGAATTTCTTCATTTGTAAAAAAACTGATATGAAAACTTGCAGGCGTTTCTAACCGGATCTTTTATTCATATGAATGCAAAGCATTATTAGTCATCAATGACTTTTGGTAAAAATTCAGAAAAACTCCCCATCCCTGCGCGCGCATAGAAAATTAAAAATTAAAATGAGTAAATTTCATTGGTTATTATAATTCTGAGAGAAAACACTTAAAAAAATTCTTTGTTCAGTGTCCTATTTAGCAATTCTTAAAAAAAATAATTATTGTAGAACAATAATTCAGAATTGTCACGAAAATATATAATTTAAAGTTTAAAAGAAAACATTTATTATTTAAATGAATGAAAATTCATTTTTGGAAATATTAGCTAACATTATTTTCCCAGCCCAAAAGGCTACAGAATATTTTATTTAAGAAGTAATTCAAAAAGATACAAAGTAAAACAATATTCAAAGTTAATTGTCTGATTCAAGGCATAATCTTACGCATCTTAAAAATTACTTTTTTTAATTTATTTTCCCCTGAGACTTATCTTAAACATTTAAATATGAAGTGTTTAAATTATATTTTAAGATTGTAAAAATTAAAGTTCGGTTAAGATTAACATTAAATTTTTGAAATGCAAAAACTCTTCTTACAAAATTCCTCTTTCATAATTAAACTCAGCGGAGAACGTTCGAGATCAGGTTGACATTATTCTGCGTTTTTTTTATCTTGATTTTTATTTTTATTGATTGGTTTGTTTTCTACGGCTTGTCAAACCTTTACAGGTTATTTAAAGCCATTATTTTCATAGATTGTATGATTTTTTATTAACGGGGAAGGGGGCGGCAGATAATGTTTTAGTGAAAGAATTCTTACTAATTAACCGGGAAAAGATAGTTTCATACATTTCCCAAGCGTATCTGCGTGTGAGCGAGTATAAATACTCAATAATAAATATTAATCGCGCATTTAAATATTATAAAAACGCCTATAGCAATAAAGGAAAGAGAGCTACATTATTACATAGCATCTAATCCCCAATATCACTGTAAATAAATAGTTCATGAATTTTTCACATTTGAAGAAGAGTTTTAAAACAACAGGGATATGGTTCTAGCAACAATTGTTAAGAATACGAAATGGATTGGTTCCTTTTTTTATGGTTTATCAACCCTTAGGAGATTATTTAAAGCCAGAAAATAATTTAGATATTGATTTCTTCTGATTTTAGTTGGCAGGTAATAGTGATTTAGTGATAGAAGTCTTACTAATTAACCCAAAGCTGGGGGGAAGAATGAGTGGTTTCATGCCTTTCTCAAGGGTAATTGTGCGCTAGCGAGTATAACGAAAACAAGTGAAATTGGAAGTCAGTTCCATTATTAACAATTCCTGGCAATTATCCATTAAACTGCACTCTTATAGCTTACATGAAAGGTATTCCCAAGTGGTCACCCATCCAGCCTCAACGTTGCTTAACTACGCTGATCATACGGGAATATATGTTTCAACATTATGTGTAAACCTAACAGATTTTGACGATTATCTTTTCTGTTAACTTATGCTAGGTTTCAGAAAGAACATTGTTCATTTGTCTATTTTTCTGAGATGATGTATTATGGACACTATTTACATTATTCTGTTTATTGTCCTCATCTTTGTCACCATATTTATCACAACGTTTCGGCCCTTCAGTATCTGTCTATATTTCTGAAATGAGGTATTATGTACACTATTTACATTATTCGGACTATTGTCCTGATATTTGTCGCCATATTTATTACAACGTTTCAGCCGTTGTACGCTCCGGCCTTCTTCAGGTGTTTGGAATGTCGAACTGAACCCTTTATTTCGCTCACCAGGGTAGACTGTTCTAGTTCCACGTGCCGTGTTTTTTTTTTTTTTAAATGAATGTCAGTTATCAGTTATCTCCTGTTAATTCCCCTCTCCAAGTTCTCCACTGCCTTAACCGGCTATTGAACTCACACTCTTTGAGTCCTGACACTGGATCTAACCAACGTCTTTATCCACTGTGCCATGTGTTCTTGGCACGTGGAACTAGAACAGTCTACCCCAGTGAGCGAAATAAAGGGTTCAGTTCAACATTCCAAACACCTGAAGAAGGCCGGAGCGTACAACGGCCGAAACGTTGTTATAAATATGACGACAAAGATGAGAACAAAAGTCCGAATAATGTAAATAGTGAGCGTGGTGTATTATATCATAAGAACGATTCCGCCTTTGATAAAATAGTAAAATATGATAATATTTTGAAATGTTAGCCAAAAATAATGTTGCATTTTGCTCAACAAGTTAAGGCAACGCATTCTATGAACATATCACAATTTAAAATAAACATCAGATTCCAGATCAATGAATATTCTTCGTATTGCATATGCACCTTGATTAGAGATGTTGTTATGCAGCAAATCTATTTTA